CGGGTGAGGGCCCAAGCCCCTGATGTAGGGAGACGATCCGAGGGGCCGGCCCTGGGTGGCGTGAGCATCAGCTAAAAGGGAGGCCTCACCCTGAAGAATGCTCCAGCTGGGCGCCCGTGGCACACGCCAGTAATCCTCTGTACTCTGGAGGCTGAGTTCCAAGGATTGCCGTTCAAAGCCAGCCTGGGCAGAGAAGGCCGCGAGACTCTTATCTCCTTTTAATCACAGGAAAAAGCCGCAGTGGAGCTGTGGCACAAGTGGTAGAGAGCTAGCCTTGAGCAAAAGAGCTCAGGGGCAGCACTCAGGCCCAGAGTTCAAGCCCCAGAGTGGGCAAAAAAAAAAAAATCTGCCAGGCGCCCCTGCTCACACTGTTGTGAGGCACCTCATCATAGCAGAAGCCACATTTTAAAATATAGAATATTGGAGCCTTTATTATACAGTTAACAGCCTGCAGGCCGCCAGTTGTTACAAAGGCCTACAGCATGCAAATACACATAACACAGCCAGGAAACATGCTAAAGAGGAAAAAAATAACAAAAACAATACCAACAAGCCAAATCAGCTCCAATGGACAGCTGAATTGGGACTCCATAATGACTGGAGACGAGACAGGACACAGGACACAAGCCCAGAGACACAGGGGGCATGGAGTCCTAGCAGTTAGGCTGGTCCAGGCTTAAATAGGTTGGTGCAGGGGGCAGATCCGCAGGAAATTCCCAGTCCCAGGCACTAGACTGACAGATTCAGTAACCTATCAGCCAAATGCCTATCCCTGCCGCCAGGGCTGTGGACACGCCCATTACCTGGGAGGCAGGTGATAGGGGAGGAGGGATGTTTCCTTCCCCTAGATGAAGACAAGATGCCAGACCCTACCATCCAATATGGCACCGGCCAGACCTGACCTCTTTACTTCAACACCTGTAATCCTAGCTACTCAGGAGGCTGAGTGAGATCTGAGGATCATGGTTCAAAGCCAGCCCAGGTAGGAAAGTCTGTGAGACTCTTATCTCCAAATTAACCACCAGAAAAATAAAAGTGGCGCTGTGGCTCAAGTGGTAGAGTGCTTGCCTTGAGCTGAAGAGCTCAGGGACAGTACCCAGGCCCAGAGGTCAAGCCCCACCCCCACCCCCAAACAAAAAGAATCCTCAAGGCAAGCCAAATATCCTGAGATTTAGTATTTTCATCTGAAAAAATGGAGGTCCCTGTAAGGAACACATGAAGTAATCCAGTGACACAGGCATCTGGCACGAGTGAGGCCTGTTCAGTAGTCTCGATAAATGTAATGGTAAAAGGAAGGATTACTTAGGGTAGGCATGGCTGGCGTCAGAGGAAGGACTCTGAGTGACAGCCATCAGTTGCAAAATGAACTGAGTTATCCTGAGGTGAGCTCCCAGTCTCTTGAGTAGCAGGACAAGCCTGAAAGGACCTGCTGACTGATTCACAGAGGGACAGGAAATGCCTCTGGCTGGTTGTTGTACCCTAAATCAGATATATAACTCCAGTCAGGAGAAAATAGAGAAGCCTCATTTTGAGAGGTTGAATATTGGAGCCCTAGAGGTCTGCAGGTAGCCAACTACAAAGACCTACAGCCCGCAAATACACAACACTGTTAGGAAACAGAACCTTGAAGGCCAGACAGGAAAGAAAGAACAAAAACAATAGCAACAAACCAATTCAACTCCAATGGAGAGCTGAACTGGGACACTACAGTGACCAGGAGACACAGAGACACATGGCATGGTGTAAAGGCACCAGAGCTGGTCTGGACCTATATTGGGTCAGGTCAGGGGGCAGGGTCACAGGAAGCTCCCAGTCCCAGGCACTAGACCGATAGATTCTGTAACCTATTGACTAAGTGCCCGCCCCTGCCCCCTGTCTCCAAGGATTCAGGCATGCCCATCACCTGGGGTAGAACTTCCCCCACCATGAAGACAAGATGTTAGACCCTCCCACTAACCACATGGACCAAGATGGTGCTGGCCAGACCAGATCGCCTCACTTCAGGGCCTTGGGATTTCTCCCTCTCTACCTCCTAGTCTAATGGTTAATGGTTTTACTCACTATTGACCAGCACTGGGTCTGGCCACACAGGTACTCAGTGAATATTGAGTGGATACAGCTTTTTGTTGTTGTTGTTATTGTTTGTAGGGCTTGAACTTAGGGCCTGGGCACTTGTCCCTGAGCTCTTTTGCTCAAGGCTAGCACTCTACCACTTTGAACTACAGTACCACTTCCGGTTTTCTGTTAATTGGACATAAGTCTCATGGATTTTCCTGTCTGGGCTGGCTTTGAACCATGATCCTCAGATCTCAGCCTTCTAAGTAGCTAGGATATCAGGCCTGAGCTACCAGCACCCAATGGATACAGCTTTTCAAGGAGTGATGGTTATGACTCCCAGAGTTTTAAGGTATCCAGCTCTGGTTGGATGAGATCAGAGATCAGAGCCTATGAAAGGGTCCTAGATACCTTTTAGGTGGGCCTTTGCTAACACATATCACTCATTCTCTTACTCAGTGAGCACTTACCAACTCCGACAGTGTATGAAGTTCCTCCTTACGTGCTAAGGAGCTAAGATGAATCAGAAAAGGTTTTACACAGAGCATTGTGGCTCATGCCTGTAATCCTAGCTACTTAGGAGGCTGAGATCTGAGGATGGAGGTTCAAAGCCAGCCTGGGCAGGAAAGTCCGTGAGACTCTTACCTCCAATAAACCACTTGAAAACTGGAAGTAGTGCTGTGGTTCAAGTGGTAGAGTGCTCACCTTGAGCTAAAGAGTGCAGGGACAGCGCCCAAGCCCAGAGTTCAAGCCCCAGGACCAACCAAAAAAAAAAAAAAAAAAAAGAATGGCCAGGCGCTGGTTAGTTCACACTTGTAATCTTAGCTTCTCAGAAGGCTGATATCTGAGGATTGTGGTTTGAAGCTGGACAAGACAGAAAAGTCTGTGAGACTCAAAAAAAGACTCCAATAAACTACTCAGAAACAGCCAGAAGTGGGATGGTGGCTCAAGTGGTACAGCACTAGCCTTGAGCAAAAGCAGCTTTGGGACAGTCCAATCAGTCCAGTGGAAAGGGCCTTACAGACATCATTTGGTCCCAAACTCTCTTAAGATTGGGAAGCCTGAGTTTCAGAGAGGGAAAGGACCTATCCACATAGCATGATCAATCACATGGATCATGGATTCCTTTGTGCCTTTTGAGAACCAGGGTTATGACTCAATTGTCCTTTTATTGGTGCCCTGTATCAGTGCCTGAAGGGGCTCAGGGGTGTCCATGGAATTGGATGGTACAATGAAGCTAAGGTCAGACAAGCAAGTGTAGGTCAGAGGGTAGAATTATTTATTTATTTATTTATTTTGCCAGTCCTAGGGCTTAAACTCAAGGCTTTGGTGCTGTCCCTGAGCTTCTGAGCTTCTTTTGCTCAAAGCTAGTGCTTTGTTTTACCACTTGAGCCACAGTTCCACTTTCAGCATTCTCTCTCTCTCTCCTTCCCTCCTTAGTAGTTTATTGGAGATAAAGAGTCTCAGAGGGGCTGGGAAGGTGGCTCAGTGGTAGAGTGCTTGCCTCGCATGCATGAGGCCCTGGGTTTGATTCCTCAACACCACATAAGCAGAAAAAGCTGGAAGTGGTGCTGTGCTCAAGTGGTGTAGAGCACTAGCCTTGAGCTGAAGAGCTGAGGAACAGCACCCAGGCCCAGAGTTCAGGACCCCACAACCAACCAAAAAATAAAATAAAAAGTCTCAGAGATGTCACTGCCCAGTCTGGATTTGAATGTTAATTCTCAGATCTCAGCCTTCTGAATAGATGGGATTACAGGGGTGAGCCACCAGCCCCAGGTATATTTTAAAGCACAGTTCAATCCCTCCAGGAAACCCTTCACAGTAGACTCCCACTACTCAAGGACACTGGATTACTGTACACTAACTGGTGTACAAGGCATGGCTTTGGCTCCTGCCTTTCCCTCTAGCCTCATCCCCACTAAATTCCCTGGCTCCCCAGCTTTCACCTTCCTCCCTCGCTCCAGATCATATTGCACCTTAAATTCTCACTAGAATGCTTCCCTCACATCCACCCCTCAGGCTTTCAGGCCCAGAAACTGTAGTCTAGTTAGTTCCATGCCAGTCTCTACTGGGGATCAAACCCACATGCTAGGCCAGGGCTAGGAAAGGGCTCTACCACTGGGCTACACTCTCAGCAACTAGTTTCTTTTATAAATGTCTGATCATCTCTTTCAGGTTGAAGGTTTTACACTTATTAGTGAGTTGTGTTTATTTGATTACTGCTCATCTCCTAGCTACACCCTGAGTGCCCTAAAGGCAGGAGCTTTGCCAGTATACTTTACTACTGCATCCATAGCACCAGAACAAGATGCCACATGAACATGCAATATATAGCTGTTGAGTGAATGACGTCCAAGACATCGAAGGGGTAGCAGAATAGCGAGTTGATAGCTCAGTACAGAACTTTCTGGGTTGTAAAAAGATTTAGGGGTCACTTATAATTCAAGTAGATGAGCGAATGGATTCGCTGAAGGCAGATTTGTACCTAATGCAAAATAAAAAGTAACGTGGAGCCGGGCGTGGTGGCTCACGCCTGTAATCCTAGCTGCTCAGGTGGCTGAGATCTGAGGATCACGACTCAAAGCCAGCCCAGGTAGGAAAGTTCTCGAGGCTCTTATCTCCATTAACCACCAAAAACTGAGAAACGGAGCTGTGGCTGAAGTGAGTGCCAACCTGGAGCGAAAAAGCTCGGGTACAGCGCCCAGGCCCCGAATTCAAGCTCTAGGACCGGCAAAAACCTCAAGTGGCAAGTTAAGTTGCAAAGATGCTGGGGCTTCCACCCGCGCAGCTGAGGTCCGGGACACGTAGCCTCGCACCCTGCACCTCCAAGTCAAGTCTTCCAAAGACTGAGTGAGTTCAACTCCGCCCTGTCGACGCCCTCCAGGCTTTCTTCCAATAGCAAAGCAGCTGGATTTTTCAGGCACCGCCTCTTCCGCCAGAGTCGCCGGGAGGGAACCGGAAATGGGCGGGCATACCGGAAGTGGAGGGCATTTCCTGTTAGCTCGGCTTCCTCAACATGGCGGCGCCCTTGTCGGTGGAGGTGGAGTTCGGGTGAGTCACTGAGCTGGGGCGCTGTGGGGATGGGCTGAAGTGTTCGGACGCAAAAGTCCCCTCTCGCCTTGGGGCCTGACATGAACGAATTGCCGAGGTTTCCGGCCCAGCGCTGAGCTACGCCGCCCTCCTGGAGCGTGAGAGGCTCCGTCTCCCTTGGCGACGAGGCCGTATGTTCAGGAATAGAGGCGCACGCACCGGGTGCATAGCGGTCCCCTGTGTGCCGTGGACTCGGAATGCGTGACAGTTACCAGGTGGCTTCCCTCCGGTTTTTGCCAGTCTCATTTGGGATCCGCGCCGTCTGTCTGGCATGTAGGCTTCTGGAAGAAAGTCTTTTTTTTTTTTTTCCCTTCTTTGGGTCCGGTCATGGGGCCTGAACTCTGGGCCTGGGCGCTGTCCCTCAGCTCTTCAGCTCAAGGCTAGTGCTCTACCACTTAAGCCACAGTGCAACTTCCGGCTTTTTTCTTTTTTGCTTATGTGGTGCTGAGGAATCGAACCCAGGGCCTCATGCATGCAAGGCAAGCGCTCTACCACTGAGCCACCCTCCCAGCCCCTGGAAGGAAGTCTTTTCAACCCCTGATCTCTTTCTTGAGGAAGCAGATACCTGCTTAGACGTTTCTTAGGCCCTTGTTTTTCATAGGATGTGTAGCCAAGATGGGACTTTCCTAGAATTGGGGGACTTTATGTAGACATGAGCCTCTTTGAAGACAGTAAACTTGTTGAGAGCCTCCTCCATATCTAGAGTCCAATGGCGATAAGGAGAGAAAATACACAAGATGCAAAGTACAGGAATAGGACACATAAGAACGGCGGAGTAGGATGAAAATTTCAAGCCACTGTATGTCCCGCAACAAACAGGTTTTTCTTGGTTTCAATATATTTTTTTCTTTTTCTTCCCTTTTTTTTCTTTTGTCGGTTGTGGGTCTTGAACTCTGGGCTTGGGCGCTGTCCCTCAGCTCTTCAGCTCAAGGTGAGCCCTCTACTGCTTGAGCCACAGCACCACTTCCATTTTCTAGTGGTTTATTGGAGGTAAGAGTCTCACAGAGTTTCCTGCCCAGGCTGGCTTTGAACCATGATCCTCAGATCTCAGCCTCCTATGTAGCTAGGATTACAGGTGTCTGGCCAATTTCAATATTTTCAAAAGAGCCAGGTGCATGTGGCTCATGCCTGTATCCCTAGCTATTTAGTAGGCTGAGATTTGAGGATCTCAGGTCCAAGCCAGTCTGGGCAGAAAAGTTAAAAAAAAAAAAAATCCAATTAACCACTAAAAAGCTGGAAGTAGAGCTGTGGCTCAAGTGGTAGAGAGGTAGCCTTGAGTAAAAAAATTCAGTGATGGTGACCAGGTCCTGAGTTCAAGCCTCAGTAGCAGCGCACGCACGCGTGCGTGCGCACGCACGAGCACACACACACACACGTCTGGAATGAGAGCCTTAAACCTCTGTTCAAATGCCTTTTCTCCTATTGGATGCCCCTAGTTTCTTTCATGTTTTCCCTTCATTGGGTAGTTCATTCACCAGTCATTTATTGAGTGCCTACCATGTGCCAGGCAATGAGCCAGACACCGAGGATACAAAGATAAATAGCACTCTGTCCATGCCCTACAGTATTCAGCATTTCTGTCTCTTAGAAGCGGGCAGTCTCATGAATGTTAAGTACATTTTAATTGATGATATTGTCTGGTTGCTTGGATCCAATTAGAACCACATTGGTCTGGCCTCCTGACTATTTTACCTCTCTGACCCTTGGTCTAGCTATACCGCCTGAGCCTGTGGATAATAGGAGGATCCCCGCTGTCTTGACAGGCCTCAGCAGAGCTGAAAAGATCTACAGACTGCCAGTGTTAGTGTTTATCCACAGCAAACTTGTCTTTCACTCTCACTGAGTCAGACATAGTATCTATTCACCAAAGATGTCTTCTGTTTGCCAAACACTGTACTGGCAACAGTGGGGAAATCATAAGGTAAACCAGACCCTTGCCTTACAGACTTTATAGACCAATGTAATTATGCCTTTCTAACTTCAGCCTCTCAGCCCCCAGAGGCCATAGCTGGTTCCAGCAAGCAGGACAAAATCCACTTTTTATCTGTCCACCTCTCTCCGGTTATCCATATCACAATGACTCCTGCAACTTGCAGCTTTATGGTGAGCGAAGCTGCCGAAGGTGTTCGCCTTTCTCTCTGTCCTTCCACATTTATACTTCTGGTCTTTCATTTCCTACATTTCTTAGCACCCACGCTTCACCTTTCACTCTGAACCTGAGCAGATTTCCATTCCCCATCATTTTCCTCTTGTTTCCCGGAATAGTTTCTCACCCCCTCCCCTCCTTGCACCTACTGATCCTAGAAGAATCTGGAGACTCTTGTCGCTAACTCCTGAGTAGATATAGTCTTCTATGTTCCACTAGCTCTGCCATGCCCTATAGGAGACCTTCTGAACCTTTCTCTCTTCAAGAAACAGTTCTGCCGTCTTTTGGCATGTCTCTTGAACTGATATATTTTTAGGTTAAAGTTGTCCAGGTTATAAAGGCCTAGCTGTCAAATTTCCTTTTCCCCCTTTTCAAGTTGGAGTTTGGTAAAGGATTGGCTTACTGTTGGGGAAAGAGAAGAAATGAGAGAAATGGACATTTTTGTTCATTAGGCAAATACTTAAGTACCTCCAATATGCCAGGCCCTGTTTTAAGCAGAGTTTATATTCCAGTAGGTAGAGGGAAAATAAGTATGAATGTATGTATAGAGATAGATAATTTTTTTTAAAAAGATGACAATACATGAGAAAAGGTGGCAGTATAGTAATATCTATACTTGTTCCTGGTATCTGCAAGTATATCTGCTAAGAATTGGGAGATGGGGAAAGATGATGATATCTTAGTTGAGTTTGAATGGCAAAACCTGTAAATGTACAAAGATCTGCCATTGGGTCTCTGGGTCCAAAACAGGCCTATTGTCTGCCTCCCTACCTAATTACTCCTGAGGCTGGGCGTGTACATTCCCTGAGTCCAGATGTGTTGACAGAGATGCCAGCCCCTCCCTTGGAGCCCATTTTTGGAGCCAGACTGGTTCTCTCTTCATCCGCTTCCAAAAGGAAACGCAGACGTGTCCTCTGAGCCTGGCACCGCCAGCCTTAGCCACTCTTGGTTGTTTGCTTGGGTCCCAGTGCCTCCAGTTCCCATCCCTCTGACCCCCAAGTCCTGAGCCCCCTGCCTATCACCCTCCCCCACCCCAGCTGCTTCATGTGCCAACCCCTACCCAGGAGAAAATGAGGCTCTTGGAAGGGGATAAATGGAGGCTCTGTGAGGGTTTGCAGCTGAAATGGCCCCGTGCACAGCCACAGATGGGCCTCTGCTCCCCCTCCACATTTCTGCATCAACAAAGCATGACCTTGTTTGGATGACAGTCTCCCATGTTTCCCCCATGACAATGTTTGCCTTGCCTGTGCCTCCCAGCGGGCCTCAGGACATCACTGTTCTGGAATTGGGAGAGGGTGGTGGGGTAGCAGGCATCACATCCATCAGAGGTCTGTGAAGGCCTTCTCAGTTCAGACCAACCTGAAGTCTGTTATGGGAATCGGGAGACCCAAAGAGGGAGGCTGTGTGGGACACTGAAAGAGCCCTGCTGTGTCTCGGCTTCCGCTGGCCAGGTGCTGGGATGCAGTGATGAGACAGAGTCTGCCCTCAAGGGGCTTTCTGACCTTTGAGAAGTCTCCTTTCACTTTCCAGACAAGGCTGCTGGTACTGAGCAGGAACAGTTTTCTTCTGAATCCCAGTGCAGCCACTTTTTGTCTGAACTTGGACAAGTCAACCTCTAGGCCTCTGTCTGCTTCTCCATGAAGCAAAGTTAATAATGTCTGCCTCACACCCTTTGCTGGGATAGCCTGAGGAAGAGAGGAAGAACACCTTAGAAATGTCACCGTGATGTGAAAAGTGTTCTTAGTCAGTGCTGAGCACAGAGGCCTCTACACCGTCAGTGCTGTGGTGTGCCTACCAGGCCAGCAGCAAGGAGCAGGGAAAGGAGTGTTTCCAGCCCTGCTTGGCCAGAGGAAACCTTAAAATGCAAAGGTCTCATAAGGGCTTCTCAGCGTCTTTTCAAATGGAAGAGCAAAGCTTGGGAAGCTAGATCACATGGACATGGTCTGGCTGGCAGGCCAGCCAGTGCTCACGTGGATTCTGATGTCACTAAAGCCCTAGTTCAGCAGCTGCATGCTGAGCCGCCTGTCAAAAAAGCAGGAGTAAAGCTAGGCACTGGTGGCTTACCCCTGTAATCGTAGCTACTCAGGAGGCTGAGATCCGAAAATCTTGGTTCAAAGCCAGCAGGAAAGTCCTTAGCACTCTTATCTCCAGTTAAGCACCTGAAAATGTGAGTGGCACTATGACTCAAAGTGGTAGAGTGCTAGCCTTGAGTGAAAAATACTCAGGGACAGCATCCAGGCCCTGAGTTCAAGCCAACTCCCCCCCCCCCCCAAAAAAAAAAAAAAAAGGAGTAAAAATGAGAGGCTACAAATTTGAGTGCTTGAGTATGAGTAAAAAAGTTATTCTAGCTGGGCGCCAGTGGCTCATGCCTATAATCCTAGCTACTTAGGAGACTGAGATCTGAGGATGGGGTTTCAAAACCAGCCCGGGCAGGAAAGTCCATGAGACTCTTATCTCCAATAAACCACTAGAAAACCAGAAGTGTCGCTGTGGCTCAAGTGGTAGAGCGCTTGCTTTGAGCTGAAGAGCGCAGGGACAGCACCCAAGCCCAGAGTTCAAGCCCCACGACCGATCAAAAAAAAAAAAAGAAAAAAAGTTATTCTACTAGTGACCCCCCCCCCCCCCCCCGCCTTTTCTTTCTTTCTTTTTTCTTTTTTTTTGGCTGGTTGCCGGCTTTTTCTTCTTATGTGGTGCTAGGGAATCAAACCCAGGGCCTCATGCATGCAAGGCAAGCGCTCTACCACTGCACCACCTTCCCAGCTCCTACAGTGACCCTTCTTTATCACATCAAGAAGTCACATTTGAGACTTAGTCATTGGTAACCAACACCTGGTTCCCAGTTTTTGTTTTTTGTTTTTTTTTTTTGTCGGTCATGGAGCTTGAACTTTGGGCTCAGGCACTGTCCCTGTGCTCTTCAGTTCAAGGCTAGTGCTCTACCGCTTGAGCCATAGTACCACTTCCGGTTTTCTAGTGGTTTATTGGAGATAAGACTCTCTCACAGACTTTACTGCCTGGCTGGCTTTGCACAGTGATTCTCAAATCTCAGCCTCCGGAGTAGCTAGTATTACAGGTGTGAGCCACTGGCACCCAGCCTCCCAGAGTTTTTTTTTTTTTTTTGTCGGTCGTGGGGCTTGAACTCTGGGCCTGGGCGCTGTCCCTCAGCTCTTCAGCTCAAGGCGAGCGCTCTACCACTTGAGCTACAGCGCCACTTCCGGTTTTCTAGTGGTTTATTGGAGATAGGAGTCTCACGGTCTTTCCTGCCCGGGCTGGCTTTGAACCGCGATCCTCAGATCTCAGCCTCCTGAGTAGCTAGGATTACAGGCGTGAGCCACCAGCGCCCAGCCTCCCAGAGTATTTTTGAACCTTGGCATCTCTGGGATATTTTTGTTTTGTTTTGTTTTCCTCCAGCCATGTTCTCAGTTTCAGTTTCTACCTCCTGTTTGTAGGAGCTCACCCAATTGTCTCTCTGGCCTTCCTTTGCAGAGGTGGTGCTGAGCTCCTGTTTGATGGAATAAAGAAGCATCAAGTCACCTTGCCTGGGCGGGAGGAGCCCTGTGAGTATCAACTTTCTAAGCTCTTCCTGGGGGTCATTTGGCATGCCTGGGTCTGATGGCTCACTCAGCCCTGTTGAAGTGAGAATGAGTTAAGATTTCTCTGGCCAATAGAGAAGGAAAGGAAAAAGGCACCAGAATGTTCTTCCTTGTCCTCAGCCAGCTTGTGGAAGGGAGATGGGGTAGCTCAGTCTTTCTGTGGTGGTTTTCTGCTTGGACTCGTTAGAACCTTAGACTGCCTTGCCTTTGTTGTTGTTGGTGGTGGTGGTGGTGGTGGTGGTAGTTGTGGGTCTTGAACTTTGGGCCTGGGTGCTGTCCCTCAGCTCTTCAGCTCAAGGCTAGTGCTCTACCACTTAAGCCACAGCACCACTTCTGGTTTCTGTTCGTTAATTGGAGATAAGAGTCTCATGGACTTTCCTGCCCGGGTTGGCTTTGAAACACATTCCTCAGATCTCAACCTCCTGAGTAGTTAGGATTACAGGTGTGAGCCACCAGCACCTGGCCTGCCATGCCTTTCTGAGCTTTAGTTTTCTCATTGGTGAAGCAGAGAAGTCATCCAGTTGCTCAGGATTAAAGGAAGCAAGTTAACTGTGTGCTTCTGTGGTTATAATGTGGCAGCAGGAAAGATTTTTATGCAGGTTGGCAACTATTGCTGAGAATGAAGTAAATAGACCATGACAATGGGCTCTTGTTACCAAAGGAAGATTTAACTTTTTTTTTTTTCTTGCACTGATCCTGGGGCTTGAACTCAGGGCTTAGGTGCTGTCCCTGAACCAAAAAACTCAGGGATAGCACCCAAGTAAGCCACAGCTCTACTGGCTTTTTGGTGATTAACTGGAGACAAGAGGCTCACAGGCTTTACTACCTGTGCAGACTTCAAACTATTCCTCAGATCTCAGCTTCCTGAGTAGCTAGAATTCCAGGCATGAGACACTGGCATCCAGCAACTTTTTGTTTCCTTTGGAACTAGGGCTCATGCGTGTGAGGCATGCACATTACCACTCAATTACACACCCACCCCATAGGAAGATTTAGATAGATTAAAAAAATGGAGTCCACAAAAGGTGACAAGTACCTGTAGTCCTGGCTGCTTGGGAAGTTGCAGTAGGAAGATAGCCTGAGCCTAGGAGTTCAAGAGTATTCTGGACAACATAGCAAGATCTTGTCTCAAACTCAAAGCAAAACAAAACAAAACAAAAAAAAAACATGGGTTTTAGGATTGGGGGGTATGGCTCAGTGGCCAGAGGCCTGCCTGCTTTGCACAAGGCCCTGGGTTCAAATTCTGAGCACTACCAAAAAACAAAGTCCTAGCAGAAAGATTTGAAGAGGGAGGTTGACTTAAGAGAAAATAATGGGCCGGGTGCTGGTGGCTCACGCCTGTAATCCTAGCTATTCAGGAGGCTGAGATCTGAGGATCGTGGTTCAAAGCCAGCCCGGGCAGGAGAGACCATGAGACTCCTACTCCTATCTCCAATAAACCACCAGAAAACTGGAAGTGGCACTGTAGCTCAAGTGGTTGAGTGCTCACTTTGAGCTGAAGAGCTGAGGTACAGCGCCCAGGCCCAGAGTTCAAGCCCCACAACCAACCAAAAAAAAAAAAAAAGAGAAAATAATGGGCTTTTTTTTTCTTTGTTTATTCAAATATTTATTTAACTTTATTTTTCCTGAATAAATACATATTGAGCAACCCCTGTATGGCGGCCGATGATGTCCAGTTGTTTAGGAAACAAGCACAAACTAGCAGAGCCAGGCCCCACCTTCAAATGAGTTTATAGAGTCAACTCTGAGATCTGTCAGGGTGGCCATCAACACAGCCTCAGCAGGGGCTGGTTATGGTTGACTGACAAGGTCTTTTATAGCACTAGCAGTGAGTCCTAGTCCGAGGAGAATTGTTGGGAGGGGAGCCCACTCTCCCTCCCTGTGGCTGAGATCCTTATGAGGAGAAGAGGGCATCAATCTTGTGAGCAGGCAGAGGAGCGGTTCCTAGAGATAGTAGAAAACAGTTAAGTGAGACTTGGCAAGATTCTGCTGTAGTGGACACATTATTTGCTAGAAATTGATCAATTATGATTTTCCAAATTTACTGGCTGCCATAGCCATCTCTGGCCCTCCCTTGTCATGGAACACTGCCATACTCTTAGGTCAAGGAGACACTTGCTGAGGAGCAGGGTACTGCCTGTCTTGTACTAGGGATAGACAAGGTGCCTGGGGTAAAACATCGGGATAGTGGGATTGTGCCTTCCTCTTCCTGAGGTAAGACTCATGGGTAAGAAAGGAAGTTTGGCAGATGGCCATGTAGCCTTGGCAGCCTTGGGAAAAAACAAGGGATCTCAGATAAGAACCCTTTCTCAGAGAGGTCATATCCCAGCCAGACACCATAGCTACTCAGGAGGCTAAGATCTGAGAATCATCGTGCAAAGCCAACTTGGGCAGGAAAGTCCATGAGACCCTTGTCTCCAGTTAACTACTCAAAAATCCTAGAAGTGGGGCTGTGGCTCAAGTGGTCTAGTGCTAGCCAGCCCTGAGCAAAAAAACTCAGAGTCAGTGTCTAGGCCCCTGAATTCAAGCCCCAGGAACACACACACACACACACATACACACACACACACACACACACACACACACACACAATTAGAATTCAAGCCCCAGGAACACACACACACACACACACACAATTAGAATTCAAGCCCCAGGAACACACACACACACACATACACATACACACACACAATTAGCCAGCCCTGAGCAAAAAAACTCAGAGTCAGTGTCTAGGCCCCTGAATTCAAGCCCCAGGAAAACACACACACACACACACACACACACACACACACACACACACACAGAATTAGCCAGCCCTGAGCAAAAAAACTCAGAGTCTAAGCCCCAGGAAAACACACACACACACACACACACACACACACACACAGACAGAATTAGCCAGCCCTGAGCAAAAAAACTCAGAGTCAGTGTCTAGGCCCCTGAATTCAAGCCCCAGGAAAACACACACACACACACACACACACACACACACACACAGAATTAAAGCCCCAGGAACACACACACACAGAATTCAAGCCCCAGGAACACACACACACACACATACACACACACACACACACACACACACACACACACACGATGAAGTCCCAAAGACCTTGCCTGGAAGTTGCATTCAAATATTACAAGTTACACACACACACACACACACACAAGATGAAGTCCCAAAGACCTTGCCTGGAAGATGCATTCAAATATTACGTTATGAGTTATTTCCCCATAAGTTTGCTTTTTTATGTGTCAATTTTTATAAGTCTAGCTTCCTGTCATTTATTTATTAAGTACCCAGCCAGTGCCAGGTACAGTGGAATGACTTATTCTTTCATGCAGTTGACAGTATTTTTTTTTTTTTTTGAGTGTCTTAAGAAAAAGCCTTTTTATTAGCATACACTAGTTGCACAAGGGAGGTTTCATTGTGACATTTCCACACAATGTAAACAATGTGTCAAGCTCAGCCCTCCATCACTGAGTGCTTCTTTGTACCAATCTCTGTACTTGTTGCTGGGGATTCAGTGGTTCACACAACCAATGTGTGGTTGTTGCTGCACTGGAGTTAACTGTGATAGACAATAAACGAGGAAACAGATAAATGGATAATTGTATCATTACAAACGGTAATGATTGGCAGGAAAACGAAGGGGGACTTTGAATGGGACTAATGTTAAGGTGAGGGGATAAAGAGTGATACAGGTAAGCATCTCAGAGAGAGCAGAAGCGCAGTGCTAAACCTCTGCTGAGCACTTGTGAAGTCCCCAATGGTGAAGGGGCCTTGGGTAGATGAAGAACTGAAGGAAGGTCAGGATCAAAGGGGCACAGGGGTTTGGAATGGTGAGCAAAGCCTCCAGTTGGTTATACAAGTAATTGCCACAAATTTCTAGGACATAGCTATGAATGTTTCCATTTTGAAAAGTGAAAATCAGGCAAGGGATGTAGCTCAGTGGTAAAGCACTTGCCCTGAAAGTATGAAACTCTAGGTTCTATCCCCAGCACTACACAATCAGTCTAAAACACAAGCTGTCAGGGTCTCACTCGAGGTCATTGAGTTTGTGTTCTTTTTTTTTGTTGTTTTTGTTTTTTTGGGTCCAGTCGTGAGGCCTGAACTCTGGGCCTGGGCGCTGTCCCTCAGCTCTTCAGCTCAAGGCTAGTGCTCTACCACTTGAGCCACAGCGCCACTCCCGGCTTTTTTCTTTTTGCTTATGTGGTGTTGAGGAATCGAACCCAGGGCCTCAGGCATGCAGCGCAAGCGCTCTACCACTGAGCTGAGCCACCTTTCCAGCCCCTTGTGTTCATTTGTTTTGGTGCTGGGCTTGTTTTGGTGCCAGTGCTGGGCTTGTGCTTTTTTTTTTTTTTTTTTTTGTCAGTTGTGGGGTCTTGAGCTCTGGGCCTGGGCTCTGTCCCTCAGCTCTTCAGCTTAAGGCTAGTGCTCTGTCACTTGAGCCATAACATACCACTTCTGGTTTCCTGAGTGGTTTATTGGAGGTAAGAGTCTCACAGACTTTTCCTTCCCAAGGCTGGCTTTGAACCTTGATCCTCAGATCTCAGCCTCCCGAGTAGCTAGGATTGCAGACGTGAGCCAGTTGGGCTTGTGCTCTTCTTCTGCTTTTTTCTGCTCATGGCTCTACCACTTGAGCCACACCAGTTCTAGCTGTTTAATTGGAGATGAGTCTGTCAGGTTTGTTTGCCTGGGCTGTCTTCAAACACTTCTCAGATCTTAGCCTCTGAATAGCCAAGATTACAGGTATGAGCCACCAGCACCTGTCTTAAGTCAGACAGTTTTGTTTTTTTTTTTGTCGGTCGTGGGGCTTGAACTCTGGGCCTGGGCGTTGTCCCTCAGCTCTTCAGCTCAAGGCGAGCGCTCTACCACTTGAGCTACAGCGACACTTCCGGTTTTCTGGTGGTTTATTGGAGATAGGAGTCTCACAGTCTCTCCTGCCCGGGCTGGCTTT